AATATCTTATCCTATGTGAAGAAATCTAAAGCTCCTATTCTAACTGTTTTGGTACCAATCTTCCAGAGGTCACACTCACTATCTACATATATCTGAAAATTAGAATGTGGTGGAGCTCGAGATTCCTAATCCGTGATGCAGTTGATGAGGGCGAATATCTTATCCTATATGAAGAAATCTAAAGCTCCTATTCTAACTGTTTTGGTACCAATCTTCCAGTCGTTCAAAAGTTTTCAACAAGACACGCTCATGTTTTCATTTTATTTTGTTTCCAATCACATCGATAATCCACTCACTTTACTCACTATCTATCACGGAATAAAGACCTACTAGTATAGCCAATCAGATTGCAGTAGTTTTGATAAAGCGCTAGTTGATTTATTCTAAAACGGAATAGCGAGGGGCATAGCCAATCAGACTTCAGTATCCGCGAGAGAACGCCAATTATAGTTATATGTGGTGGCTACTGACCAGAACCTGAGTCGCACAACATCTTTTAGTTTCTTATGTTCGAAAGTTACAAGTTTGGCTGCTTACGACCCTATGAGCAACTTTTCCCCTTTAGAACAACTTTTATACCCGGTTTTCATGTGTTACCATTCTCCAGCACAAATATTTGGTGGACGATAAAGAAAAAGCTGACAATCTATAAAGCACTCTAAAAGCTACAGTCATTACTATTTTAAAAACGCTGATAATTCTCCCCTACTACTTGGTTCTGAAGGATTCAATAACCTAGCAATTTCCTAAATAAACGAATTCTTCGTTACAAACTCGGGCAAACTAAGATCAACACTCTATCACTTAGGTTGTGTTAGATGATCATTTACAACGATATTCTTGCAGCATAGACAGCTAAAAAATTTTTCCTTTCTCTTAATTTTCAATATCTTCAATTTCATTTAACTGCCTACAAAATATTGATTTGCCACACCCTTAAAAAATTGATCAAAGAATAGGGCATCTTAATTTTTTTTTTTTGACTTGCATTTCACTTAAAACCAAACAGAAAATTGCAATGTACTAATTGTTGCAAAACGAACGAAAAATCACACTCTAGGTGAAGATGTAAGAGATTACAAAGAAAAAGTTATGTGACCCCTCACAGGCACTTTTAAAGGTAACTCACACACAGACCTTGATTTGAGGGATTATTTTTTTATCTCAGCCGCTTGATGAAAACATTAAAGGTTAAAAGCCTCCCTAGTTGTCAGCTCTCAAATGTTTAGAAGTATTCCATATAGCTCAATTCCAGATAGATATAATCCATTGCTGCCAGAGGAATTTGTACCTGTCTGGAAAATTCGAAAAAAACGAAAAGGCGCTATTTCCCCTACAACAGACCAAATTCTCGTATGATACAAAGATGTGTCTCTGCACATACACTGTGAATCCTTCATGTGAATAGTTTCAAGACTATCCCATTTCTCTCCATCATTAGATCCCTCTAGTTTCCAATTTATAGGTGCTAACTTTCCATACATATTACCGTCCCTCAAAGAGCAGTTTGTGATTATAAGCCGATAGCGTAAGCCCAGATCGATGGACCACCATGAATTTTCCTTATCCTCTGTCCCACTGATGGTGGCCGTCTCATGGTTAAGTATGTCATTCACATTTCCAATGTAATCGGTGGATCTGTTAGCTACCAGCTTAGCCGAGGCTTCTCTCTTCAAGAAGCATATGACACCACGGCAGTTTCCACCAAATTGCTCTCCGGTTGGCGAGAAAACGCCTAAACGGAGAAAGAAAAGTACCTCAGAAAACAGTGGAAAAGGGAACGTTATCCCTACCCCCTCCGCCCGACCGTTTTCCAAACTTTAATAACACGTGACTAAACATCCTTATAAAAAACAGATATCAAGGCACTATTAACTTTGTGCCTTTATACTTACGCCTTCTGGAGTTGATGTACTTCTCAAGCTCCTCTTGTAGCCTGTTGCGCTCCATCTCACCGTTTTCTACTCTTTTACGTAGCTTTTCTTTTTGAGTCCACAGCTCATAAATTTTAGCCTTTAACTGCCTAGGCTCTTCTAGATCCGTTTGATCTTTTATAATTTTCATTAATTTTTCTGTCGCGGCTTTTAGATTTTCAATCTGCTCTTCCAAGTTTTCCACAACTTTTGCCTTCGTTTTCGTAATCGGATCGCTTGTTTTTTCGAATTCTTTTATCTTCGCCAGTTGTCCATTGTAGGCTTCCTGCAAGGCATCATTTTTACTCTTGAGTTGCATGATTTCCTTTTTCAAGCTTTGTTCTTCTTCTTCCCACTTCTTCTTATCTTTTTTGTGCTCTGTTCTCATGTCATTTAGTTCCTTTCTCAAACGCGAACATATCTGGCATTCTGTATAAACAATCCTCAGATTAGCTTCTTTAAAATTACTCAATTTAAATCATTATGATACCAATAAAGATCTGGCCACAAAAACTTCATTATTCGTATTTCTCCGACAACCCTACCAAAAATATTTGCCGAATCAAGGGAATGTTATGAGGCGATTTTTTGAAAAAGAATGCGCTAATTTTCAGCCCAACTTTCATCCAAATGTGAAAAGAAAAACAGTTAGGCTGATGACAGCGAAGACAAAAACGAAAAGTATGGTACTAATAAAAGCGACCGAGGAAATGGCTGGTATTAACTGTCTATCAATATATTTAAAGATATCAAAATTTATTTTTCCACTGTTTTCTATCTAAGCCGGCGTCGAATGATCTATGCCAGTATGGCGTCACGCAGCTATATCGAAGCGCTTCGCATGGCTTGTGTTAGCAAGGGACGCCATTAATAGCTAACAAAGAGAAGCTCAATACAAGCTATTGGATAATTATCCACAGATTTACTCTCTGTGTGCGAGGTTTGTTTTATAATTGCTGTTTATTATCTTGTTAACGTGATTGTTTGTAATTTCATTGGTTAAAATTCTGGGTAAGTAGGCTGACGGCCATATTGACCTCGGAACGTATCAAAACAAACTAAAACTAGAATATAGTCGACGCCCTCAGGGAAAGATTTAGTGTCCGTTATAGCGAGAGTCCGTATACTAAAAGCGGGCACGGAGAAAAAATTGTTTTGTCTCTAAACATATGAAATAATATGTAACTACGAAAACATTAAGTTTCTAACGTGGCCCCAGGAACCGGAAGAAGATCCAGTGGCCAGCAGGAAATTTATCATATTTCGCTTGATATTAGGTGAGTCAAGATTGTGGACGAAGTGCTTAAGTGTCCGCTATATAAAATGTCCAACTCTGACTTAAGATTCACGCCCTAGAAGCGATATGGCTAACAAGTTGACTGGGTGACAGAAAGAAAGGTCAAATCAAATTAAATCTGTAAAAACCTCAAAACATGGTAGATAAGATGCCAAATATGTGTAGCTACAACAGATACACACAATCAACTTGCAAAAAGAATAAAATCGCTTTCAAAGGTCAAATTATATCAAATCTTTAAAACCCTAAGACATGGTAAACCAGCTGCCAAATAGGTGTAACGTATAGTCATGTGGTAGCCAAATCGATACGCGAAAATCAACTTACTCGAGCTCCTGCAAGCCGTTCGTATACATCGCCTTCCCAGATGTTCTAAGTTCCAAAACACAGGAAACTGGGGATGAAAATCGTGAGCTTCCCACTCTAGGTTTGCCCCTATCCCAAATCACGCTATTGTCACATGTTCAAACATCTGGGTGGCGATACAAAAGCCGAAATATTTGCCTGGAGTTATCAATATAGTTCAAACTGGCTTCTGTCCCGACGATAGATATGGAAATGTTTCATCGCTCACACGGCGCCATAAAACATTTCTGTCCATGTATATCGCTGTGACTGTTTTCATCATCGATTTTTAGGCTTTTGAAGCCAGTTTATTTCAATTCGAGTTTCTTCTGCACGTTTGCTCTTCGTTTTCGAGGTCTACAAATGTGTACCTTGATGATTTTAAAGTACGACTGTTGTCTTCGTCGATTTTAAGACTTGGAAGCTATTCTAATTGGGTATTCTTCCGCACAATTCCTTTTCGTTCAATTGGTATACACCAGTGTATTTTGATCAAGGATGTAGCGAAAAGAAGAAAAATACTAGCCAGATCATTTTAGCCCACGGTCACAGGGACACGGGTACAGCGCCAGTTTAGACTATGTTGATAACTCCAGGCAAAAATGTATTGCACCTTTAGAAAAAAGTTGCTTGTTTTTCTAGGTGGTCCGTTCACCGTAAAAGCTAGTTAATGGACGGACATTTGTGAAGTTTTTGACTGTCAGTTTAACGCATGTGTACCTTGTCAATTTCCGATTGCAGCTTTTCTCCGTTACGCGCACTAGTATTTCTGAAAAATGTTTAATGTTTTGCCAATTTGAATTTTTCTTGCTTTGTTATAGGGCTGAGGGCCCTCAGGCCTCTTCCCCACCGCGGTCCCTGCTATGGCGGATGGTGGCTCACACAATTTTATGCAATATCAACTTACCATCCGTAGTTGAACCCTCGCATGTTTGCCTATCCCTATATCTCTGTCCATTGCCTTTCTGAGTGCGGTCAGCCAGCCCGGCTGGCTGACGAGAATCATCATCTTCTCCAACTGGAATCATTTCCTGCTCCTGATTTTTCAGATTAATATTTCTAATTGAGAGGTACTTTTGCAGCTCTGAAAATTTTTCCTCCATGCATTGGATTCTTTCCTTTAGATCCTTCCCCAACCGTTCCACTGTACTTTGTAACCTCTGAAATCGCGCTTTATCGTAACGTGAGCTTGTCTCCACTTTTCTTATTTCTAGGTAGAAAGAGGTAAATCATTTGCGGATGTACATGGTAATAAGGTTGCTGGCTCTTCATGAAATGCTCTTAAGGTGTTAACATTGCGCTAGATTCCAGTAAGACTCCCCCACTACTACCTATTCAAATGCTGGCTTATGCAATTGCAGTGGCGAAATAGTTCAATGTTTTCAATTATTTTGAGGAGATCTGACTCGAGTTTAAAGTGGCGCTAAGCGGTCTTCGCGGTGATGCTTCATTCTCGCAAAAACTGTGCGTTGACACGCCTACGGACCTCACAAGCTATTGCCTCCCGTCAGCAAAACTTATATATTCATTTAAATCTTTAGTGAGGCTTACGTATAACTGATTACCCCTCTCTTTGTGTAACAACGATATAATTGAAGCTGTTCGCGGCGCGAGCTCTATTTAGAAAGAAACTTCCTTAACGTAACCATGAAGTCTTTCGCTTCAAGGTCTTTTTCTACTTAGGTATTAAGTTTTTTCGTTATGAAAGTAGATAGACCTGGTGTTGACCGAGTTTCCTTTACAAAAGGAGATTACATACCAAGCAGTTTTTCGGCAACATCTCTCCTCCCTATCTTCACCAGAGCATTTTTAAGAACTTCCATTGTTGCTCCACTTCCGTTTTCTTGTTGCCACTTTTCAAGCACTTTTTGTACCCTTTCACAGCAATCACCGCTGTGATCAGTCTCAGTGTTATTCAGAAAAGCTGATGAGAGCCCTAAGGCTGAACCCAGTTTTTTCCAGTGTTTACCTACTTCCTCACATATTAACTCCTTCTGGTTTGCATTGATAAGAACCTGCTCAAACTGTAGACCACTAGAAGTGGCTGCAAAATAAGTAAACATCCTATTTGATCAAAAATTTTGACTCGAAAATTATGAACAGACAGCAAAAAAATGTGCACTGGGAGCCGCAAAAATTATAACTCTGGATATCCTGTTTATCAGTAACAGGTAACGACTTGGAAGGGATATTGAGTAAACCTAATACCGTTTTAGGAAATTATGAATTTAATTAAGAACCTTTATTGCTGTCGTCAGAATCCCCCATCCGTCCAAGAGAATCGGTTATTTCCACCTCCCGACTCGGCTAAATAAACTGAAGAAAACAAAAAACTTTATTGAAGAAAGAGCGCATGACCGAAGGACAGATCCTGTTTAAGTAAGGCCAACCAGGTTTTTATTCCAATTCTATTACTAATGGTTAACAGGCTGGTAACTCGCTATAGCAATAGCTTTAACATCCATCCCGTTATGAAGAAAGCACTATATATGATTAGCTCCCAGTTCAATGGTGGTGTCCTTGAAACCCGAAGAAGCGTTTTGGTATAAAGGCTGAATGAAGATGTGTTGCTGTAAAGAACAGAGATTTACGCATTGTTTATCTGGTTAAAGCAAATAATTTCCATTTAACGTGAAATACTTTGATTTCATCGCGCGATAAATCTTATTTAAAAGTAGGTAGCGTGTCCTCTTTGGGACCACCGAAACTTTCTGCACTCAATTTCGACTATCAGCACTGTTTGGGATTAATTGACGTGTTCTCGGTCAATAAGCATGCTGAACGTTTTTCAATTATATTATCAAGTCTTAGATCATACGCATGACTTCAAAGTCGAACAAACACGCAGAGTGAGTTCGATTTGAAATCACAAGTATAATTTCAGATTTAAATTTAAAGATACGAAGTTCAATTACCACTCTTAGTGCATCCATTTTGAAATCACAAAGTTCAATTGCCCAAATGCAGGTGTTTTTTTTTCAGCACAAATACTTTATTGATCCAGTATTGAGGTTGTTTGTAAGGAGTTGCAAAATTTCCCCCACGACGGCCTCTTTGATCTTCTTTGCCTTTCATTTGATTGGTTTCTTCAAACATCTAAAAAATCAGATTGGTTTTTTTGCTTTTGTGTGGATTTCTTTCAATTTTACGTGCCTATACAGTCCAAAGTTTGGAATTCTTCAAATGCACAAGTTATGGCTAAACATTACATAAGTTTTCGAATCATTCAAATTTGCCTGCTTCGATGGTTGCGAATGATTTATGTTGTCTGAGCACTGTATGATGTTAAGCATCATCTTTAGACAATAATAAATTGCTTCAATTTTTTCCACATTCCAGAACCCCATTATTTTTTATTTTTCACTTTCTCGCAATTTTCATTCTGTGAAACATTCCCGCCTTCCTACATCTTACTTGAAACGAAAGAATCAAAACTGCGATGATAATTGGGGACGAAGTTTATTGAATGTGGTTGCTATGGTTTCTTTCGCTATTTTACCAATTACGTCTGCATGATCAATCAATTAAATCGCAGCATTTGTCTTCTCCTAGTATCAGGTTACCCTTCTCAAAGTATTATTTGATAAGGTTAGCAAAGAAATTTCGGCAACAAATAGCAGCTTATGACTCAGCTTTGCCTGTTAGTCGCAGTATCTATTACGTGTAAAGTTGCTGTGTACTGATATTCTGTTTGTTGACATTCTTTAATCCGGGTCAAGAAGCTTGACGGAGAGAATTAATAGCTGGCTGTCGTATTATTTAAGTTTTCGTTGAATACCATTGCTGGCGTATTTCCACAGAATTGAATACTAGTTTGGAAAATAAATTCGTGTAATAAGAACTGACTTTTGTCGACATGAAGTGTACTGGGTGTCTGGGGTCCTCTCCCATCTCGAACTATAAATTTTCATGGATAAAGTCTCTACTTCCCTTTCTTGAGACACGGATGTTTTAAACGGATGATAAGGTTCTCTTCATGCTGATTGTAAATGACAGAGTGTTACCCTAGAAATTCTAAGGCACCCCTTAACCTCGCTATAACTTTTCCCCTGCCTGAAGTTGTCCAAACGTCAGTAACTTTTACATTACCGACAACAGTCTTTTTCAAGACTACTCTCCCTCGGATGATCAGACTACAAGATCGACAGTAACTCCTAGGTTAAAAACCATATACTGACTATTCTTAAGGCAAGGCTTACCGTTGAAACTGATCCTGACTGATTGCACACCACAAAGTCGGTAACTTTTCTAGAACGTTTAGGGCACCACTCTCAGAGATAATTAAACTCACATGATGCCTTTATCACAGAATGCTCTTGTAACCGGTCTGGAGTCGAGAAGAGAGAATTCAAGGACCTATTCTAAACTCTGGCAGATTTTTGTATATTTAAAGAGATAATTTGCATTTTAATATATGCATTTTGGCGATCCAGCGACTTCGTTCTCGAAATTTACGCGTACAATTTACAAGTGTGTAATAACACTGACACAGTCAGCCTTTTTACCATCCCATCAATCACTGACAAGTGTGTTCAAGTTCTTACTGACGCTCATTCAACTTCAAGAGAAAAATAGGCAATTATTGGATGAGGTCGAGCATGATATCATGAATTATCAATGCCGAGGTCTGATGCTTCGGCAGATAACACAGACACAAGGTTTGATGATTCATGTTATCATGCGAAAGCCGATATGTTATGCATTTCTAAACCAACCTCCAAAAGGAGGCACTACTCGGACGAGGGGGCTTAGAAACGACGTAGACTTTGAACTCGACATGATATTATGTCAAAGGGAGGTAAGTTTCTAAAGAAACTGCGGAGCTTCGTCGGTGGGAGAGTATAACAGGGTAATTTGGCATAATCAACTGAGGTGATAACGTAAATTGGCCGCCCGCTATTGGATACTCACTATCTCTTTTCTGATTAGCCGAAAGCGTACTGTGATTTTTCGAAATCAGCGCCTAGGACGTCATCTAGCTGCAGATTATACAATAATCAGGTCAAAGACACTCAAGGTCACAGTAATCATGTCATGTATGACCGCGGTGAATGATTTCTGCGGGTAATCGTGTCAAGTTCGCGCGCTTTGTGTTGGCTGCTGATTTGTATACTTTTACACGCCTAGAAATAAGTTATCAGTTCCACTTACTGAAGTGACCATTTTTTTTTCGTCCAATGTGTAATAAAACAATTATTAGATTCGGTTTTTGTGATATCCAGAATAATCAAGGTCTCGGTAACCTCTACCCCGACCTTGATTATTCTAGATATCACAAAAACCTCATCCAATAATTGTTTAGCTGAGTCGGCGCATAGCCCCAGGATCCCATGCTCAAATTATCTAGAAACTTGGAAAATGTGGGTTTCACCAACTGCGTTGGAAATGTATATCGCCCACTGTAAAAAGTTTACCGCGGCCATTTTGCATTATCTGAAAAATTAGCTTATTCAGATGTTCGATTACATTTCAGGCCAGGTGTGTGACTGCCATGTGATCCCATTGATAGTTTAGGATTACATATTCGTTGCAGAAATGGATCTATGTTTTAATCTATATACATATTTACTGTACAGACCAGCGTTAATATGGAATCTATTTGTTTTGTATGATTAAAAAAAAAAGCCAAATTATTGTTAATGGTGACGATTTCTATGCGTCTGTCCTTCAAAAGATCATAAGTAAGAACCTATCAATTGCGTGTATAATTTACTTTATCATAAAAATCCTGTTGTGAAAAATGATGACGTGTGTGTGCGCTGACGATAAACTAATCTTTATAGAACATCTTTATGCTAACACCCCGGAAAAATTCATAAAATAACGGACTCATTAGTCAGCTGTGCACTCATCGAAAAAAGGAGGTACTTAATAAGCTAGAATTAAACTCGGCGACGCCTCAACAAACTCTTACGCGCCTTTGGTGCTCTAACTTCCTGCGTGATCCATATCCCCATAAACGCACAGCTGACGCATGAAACAGCTGTTGGGAGAATAAGAATTAGTTTAGCTCCTTCAATTTAGCCTTTTTAACCCGCTCACAGGCCATTTCTTCAGTCTATCTTAGACTATTCACACTTTTGATTATTTACATGAGCATTTCAATTGGTGTTGAATATTGGCTGAGCGGAAAGTGCATGTTCAGGTTTTAAAAATATATTGAGATCCATGCTTCAGGAGCAAACTTTTTATCAAAGAATTTAAAGGATCGTGTGCGGTTGAAAGTAAATATTAGAATTTAGGGAGACTTATAGAAGATAAGGCTTTGACGATGCACATGGGAAAGGAAGCCCACAGTGCTCATGATTATTTTAATGGTCTGAAACATTCCTTCTGAACAGGGCTTGAGCTTGCGGCAATCCAGTTTAGCATAGAGAGTTTATTATAGGCCATTGTTTCTCATATCAAACTAAAATTAAAAAGGATTCCAACCTTCTGATTTTAAAAAATACAGCTATACTCATACTCCTTTGGCTTAAAAATGGATGGAAAAACAAAAACAAGACAAGAGAGGCATTATCACGTTTGCCAAACAGTTGGTTGATGAGAAAATCACAACGCGCGCAAGGCGAAAAGAGCTCGAGTAGACACACGCGTAAAGCGAGGAAAAGAGCGCGAGTCGCGTCTTTTTCGTGTCTTTTCGACTTGTGAAGAAAAAAAACCACTTCAGACTTACATTTGATAAAATAGACGCTTACTTTAATGTTGTTTAATCTGTGCCACTCTACAAACAATTATGATAGGTGGGAATGTAACAATGATATTTTGTGGGAAAAAAGTTTCTGTCAACCTTACTCAGATGTTGTGATGATACTTCATAACAGATAACTGATACAAATACGATCCCACCAACAGCTTTGAGATAACGTACTGTATTAAAAATGTCTTCAGAAATTGATTCAGTCTCTTGAAACCTACCTTGATTATTTACGCTTTCCATCACTTTTTTTTATCAGTATAAAGGACTTAGTTTTAGTTAGTATGAATCTGAGTGCAAGTAATGAAATACTTTCCCCGCGAATCCGCAAAAACGAGGCTCTATTAGGGCAGTTTGATTGGTTCATACGTATGATTTTTGGAGGACAGGCGCATAGATGACGTTTTATCATATCCTTAGTCGTTTAAGACTTAAAAGCGAACAGGCTCATGATCTCGTCTAATTATAACATAAATAGTTCACGCCACGTGCTACCCAATCAACTCACCATCTACGTGTATCTAACAACTATATTGTGACGGAACCCGAGATTTCTATCCCATGATGTAGTTGATGAGGGCGAAGTCGAGTCTCTTATCCGACGTAAAGAAATCTAAAGCTCTTGTTCTAATTGTTTTGGTACAAATCTACCAGTCGTCCAAAACTTTTCAACTAGACAGGTTTATGTGTTCATTTTATTTTGTTTCAATCACACAATGGTAATCCACTCTACTCTCCTAAAGGTTAGGGTTAAAAAGCTGAAGCGTAACCAATCAGATTGCAGCAGTTTTGATAAAGCGCTAGCAGATTTATTCTAAAACGGAATATTCAATCAGACTGCAGTATCGTAAGAGAACACCAGTTATAGTTATATGTGGTGGCTACTGATCAGAACCTGAGTCGCACAACACTTTTTAATTGTTTTTAATTAATACTAATGCTACTGAAAATTTGGTACACAATCTACTCAGCACTTTTAAAAACTACACCCCTAATAGCCAATATGAAACGTTAATAATTCTTGGGAGAAAGCAATAAGCTATAGCTCTTGGAAAAGGGTTTGCTTCTCGGAACAGATCATATGCTTATCGGTACATATTTTCGCGCCAAATGGAGGCCTGTGTTTTTAGTACACTTCAAACACTTTTGGAACGCGTTGCACAAAATTTTTACGAACAGCTAACCGTTTACTGCGTGCAATGTTCACTTTTCGGTATTCTCTTGCTCGAATTTATCAACAAACAAATTTCTTTATCTTAAGAGTTATCGACTTTTATCGTATTTAAT